CTGGCATTTGGGTCTGTGCTTTGCAGGCAGATGCTTGATTCCGCAATAATCTGCTCGTTGTTCACAGCTTCCATGTGTTTGGAGCAGGTGCAACCTATGCCCTTTTCTTTCTGTGCTCATATAAAACCCTTCTCTGAGACATGAGCTTTTCATTGTAGGGTAGCAGAAGTAGTGGTTGGGCCTGCCTTTTTTGTTCCAACCAGTGGCTTGACTTTGGGCAAATCACATGCCCTCCCTAAGCCTCAGTTTCCCTGTCAATAAAGTACGATAACAAATGGGAACATCTCCAAGGATGCTGCGAGAACTGGATAAAGTAGTGATGTAATTCCCTACCTAGTGTGTGAGACCCTCCCAAGTGGAAGATCCTCAACTTTGTTTGAGGATGAACAGGGTATGTGCTGTTTCAGAAGTGTGAGCTCCTTTAAGATGGTACAGGGGAGGTATCTTGTAAAACAAACACAAGTGCACTAAGGACGGGGTTATTATCTCCCTTCCCCTGGCTTCTCTCATTGTCCTTGGTCCTAGAGCCAAGCTGCCCAGAGAAAGCTTGACTATAGTTTTGGGGAATCTCTACTGACCTAAGGATCTCCAAGGTAGGTTCTCTCCTAGATGAATACTGATATTTTTTGTCAATGCCTTGCAAATGATCACAACCTTTTGAACACTTATATCTGCCTATTGACCACAGTATCCTGCAAAAGTCTGCCTAATGTTGGAGGGGTTGAATGGTATGTTCAGTAAGAATCAGCTGTGTTTGTTCTCAGCCTAGTTATACCAATTGTCCATTTTATTGTGGTTATAAACTTATTTAAACACTCAATCCCTGGTACCACATGCCACCCCAAGGGCACACTGAGCTGGCCACAGACTCCAGGCCTGGTAGCTCACTCCTGTAATCCCAGGACTGGGGAGGCTGAAAACAGGAGGGTCACTATGAGTCTGAGCTGCAGTGTGAGATTCGGTACCAAATACAATAAATAAATAAATAAATAAATAAATAAATAAATTGCTTTCCTGTTTCCAGCTGCATGGAGGCAGCTTGTGCGTCTCGGACACCCCAAAATTAGGACTTTTGTTTGCACGCCTGAGGCTGCCCTTGGCAGCTTGGCCACTGTCATCATGCCACAGAATGAATATATTGAATTACACCATAAACGCTATAAGTATCACTTGGATTACCATGAAAAAAAGAGAAAGAAGGAAAGTTGGGAGGCTCATGAACGTTCAAAGAAGGTGAAAAAAATGATTGGCCTGAAGGATAAGCTCTACCAGAAATAGCACCTTGGAGAAAATACAAATGAAGGAGGCTTTCAAGATGCATGAAAAGAGAAACACCAAACAAAAGAATGCTAAAAAGACTCCACAAGGAGCAGGAGCTGCCTACCTGCTGGATGGAGAGGGACAGTAGTGCAAAAGTATTTTCCAACATGATTAAACAAAAATGAAAAGAAAAGGCACAAAAATGGGAGAATCATCTGCTCAAACTTTGTGCCCAAGGAGAAAAGGAAGTATTAAAAGTTATTTGAAATGGAAAGAGAAAAACGAAGGCATGGCAGAGGATGGTTACTAAAGTCTGCTTTGTTGGAGATGGCTTTACAAGAAAACCACCTAAATATGAAAGATTCATTAGGCCAATGGGCTTACGTTTTAAGAAGGCCCATGTAACACATCCTGAACTGAAAGCCAGTTTTTGCCTGCCATTACTTGGTGTGAAAAAGAACCCTTCATCACCACTGTATACAACTTCGGGGGTTATTAGCAAAGGAACAGTGACTGAGGTGAATGTGAGCGAGTTGGGCCTTGTGACACAAGAAGGTGAGGTTATTTGGGATAAATATGCCAGGTAACCAACAATCCTGAAAATGATGGATGCATCAATGCAGTCGTACTAGTTTGGCAGATGTTTCTTTCATATAATAACTTCTTACACTTATTGAAGACTGCAGTCAGGAAGACCATAGCTTGAATACTGCTGAACAACTCTCATGACTACATTCATCATTCATCAAGAAAACTGTTTATTGAATTGTAAAAACATTAAAATGGCCCAGTTTTACAAATTGGTCTTTTATTAGGGGTCTGCTAAGGGCTTAGGTGTTAGTGAGATTGAACCATTTGAAAAAGTAAACATAAGACTTTGCATTGAAGACTGTGTACTCAGCAACACAGATCTCTCATTCCTAACAAGCCACCAGGATTCAAAGTCAGTGCAAACTTAATTTAGGGGTCCAGGGCTAGGAAATCTGCTGACGCTGTTCTACCACATCATTTATCATTAGTCCTAAAAAAAAGTAATGTTTAAGTTTATTCTCACTATAGGCAACTTATAATACTTTGAGAATGGCATTAGAAGTTTATTAGATAATTCCAGCTTAGTTGCACTGATGTCCTGAAAAGAAATTTTATTAATATAAGGTTATTAATATAAGATTATTTTATTAATTTAAGAAACTTAAATAATATAAGAAGGTTATATGTTAAGAGTGCATTTCAAGTTTTGTGATCTGAATTAAATGGTCATGGATTGAAAAATGAATAAATAAATAAGCTTATTTATTTAAACAACATGATAAATGATGAAATTAATATGAAAATAATGAAATAAAAACTCTATGACAGTAAAAATTAACACTGAAAATATCAGTTGAGGGCTGAGACTGCATTGAGGTAGGAGGCATGTGAAAGCCTGGGAAAAATTATTTAAAAATCTAGAAGGACACTGCACTCATCTGGCTTTGCAAATATCTCTCTGCTCTCACTCTACTTTAAAAAAATGGAAACTGAAAATCATATATACAGCATTGTGGAAGACAGTGCTGAACATCAGAAGATTGGTGAATAAATGTAGATTTTGTGCTGCAAACTGAAATAAAATGTTTACAGATGTATGTATCAGTGTTAGTGGTTCCTTCTCTTAAAAGATATATCTTTATAAAGTAACCTCATACCGCTGGGGTTGATTAGTCAGATAAAAGGGTTTTTGCTGTCCCTCGCTTATATATTCTAAGCAGGCAGGCCCACTCCCACCTCTTTTTTCCATTACTTGTCTCTCACTTCCTAATCATAATCTACTCATTAAGCCTCTCAATAAACACAGAGAATATAAACCAGTGTTGTGTTCAGAGCCTACTCTCTTAACACTTTTCTATGCTGTCTCTATTCGGAGTCATACAGCATCCTATTTGCTTGCCTCCCGCTGTATTTGTTATTGATGCTGTTTAGACGCCTTTCCCACCTTACACCCTGAAGTGATGTAAGCTCTCAAAGGAGAAAGGCAATTACAACCAAAACAGGTACTGCGAAGGCATTTAAAGAATGTTGCTCATTCTGCAGTCGCTGACACAGCTAACATGAAGGTGCTGATGTTCAACCTCAGATGTAGACAGAAAAGGCACGCTCTCCCTTTCCAGTCTATTAAGACTCACACACCACCACCAGCACCATCTCGCTGTATCCAACACCTACCCATCTGGGATATGTCCAGGTATATAACCAGGAAGCTTAAATGACTTTCCTAGGGTCCAAGACAAATCTGTGACTATAAGCCAAGTCATTTTATTGTCTAACAAGTCAACTATTCTCCCAACTAACCTTCAGGCTTGAGATTCTCAGGCATTTTCTGTCCTGATACACATGGTATAGTAGTGTTTCTATGTGAAATACCCTCTGATTCTGATGACTTCTAAAACATTTTAATTTTTGACCTATGTGGACTACCGAAAATCCTTTCTTGGCTGACTTCCTTCGTCCTTGGCCACAGAACTTTCAGGCTCTTTTGCAACTGGATGTGACTGTGCACTGGCCAGTGAGACGTGAGCAGAAGTGAGCCAGTATCCTAGAAATTTCATAAGGGCTGCTGATCCAGCTGGAAGGAGGACCCTTTCCTGAACCCTACTCTACACCCCTGTTTGTACTTCCTGGGGTACAGTTGAAAGGCAGAAGGTCTCTCTAGCTGTCTATGCCCATAGTGACTCTGAAGGTAGAAGCAAGCGCTAAGACAATGGGAAAGTCACAGAGAGAAGCTTGGGCTATTTATGACAGACTCATGGCACCAATGAGCTGGGAGGTGGGAGTGGTGTCGTTTTGCATGTGCCCAGGACCTAGATCCAAATGCTGTGCAAGGGGAGAAGTAAGGGTTGCAGAAGGGGCTGTTTCTTTGGGTCTCATGGTGATTGGGATGCAAGAAAGCCAGTGTGGGTCCCAGAGAACAATATCTAACAGAACTGGAAAAGAGGTACTCATCTGCTCTGCCTCTGTTGTGCCCTGCCGTGTCCCAGTGCCCAAGGACTTGATGCATGTGTAGGGTCTTTGGGTACCCCAGGTAAAAACCTTTGGGGGCTTCAGGGCCTGCCCTTGCCCTGTATCCTCAGGAAGTCAGCAAGGCTGACTTGGGTTCCTAAGGGAGAGAGTGGGGCCTTTGTGTCTCAAGCACCCTTGAGGACAGCAACATCAACCACGGAGCCAGAAGCAGAGTGAGGAGAGTGATTCTTGGCCATGTGTGCTGGCTGGAGAAAGCTGGCATCTCAGGGTATCCTAGATCATTTAGGTAAGGCCTCTGCCTGGTGAGACTTGAATTATGACTTCAGTTGCATACTCAGGAGACAGATCTTAGGGACAAGTGACACATGCTTGGGTGACAGCATGTGACACTTTAGGTGACAGCATAACTTGGGTTGCCCCAGTCAAGAAAGGTTGTGTTACTTGTGTTACTTCAGAAAGAACCAACCCTCCACATTTTCCCCTGGGGGCTGTTTCTTTCCAACTGACCTGCCATAAGAAAATTCAGGCCATTGGTTTATGTCTTCTTTCTTCTCAACTTCAGGGATGAACTGTTCTGGAGAGGAAAGCTCAGAGGCCTTTTCAGGCTAGAAGAGAAAGGAACATGTAAGAATGACCCGTGACCACACTGCTAACAGGGAATGAAGGCTGCCTGTAGGTTACACAGGTTTTCTGTGTTAGAACAAAATTCAAGCTGACTGAATTGGTTTGATAACAATAGTATTTTCCTCTGAGCTTTGACTCGATTTTCCAACTACACAACTCATATGTGATATTTTCCAAGTGAATGCTTTCTGCACCCAGTCAACTTATTTTCTCTCTGTTTGTGTTTGATCTGCTGGTATCCTGGGAGATTCACTACTGACATCCAGAATTCAATCAATGCACTCAGTCTCTATGAAACAGACATTCAGGGAAACATACAAGTTTTAGAGCTGGATTGAAAATCTAGAGGGGATCAAATCCCACCTATCATTTTATAGCTCAACAGGAGCGAGTGCTAGAAAGGGGTCAGATGACTCAGGTGAACTCGAGTGTGGCGCACAGGAAACTCTAACCTTCAAACAGCGATGAAACATTCCATTCTGCAATTTTGCCTCTGCATTTTCAGGGACTGACTCATATACTAATCAGGACTCAGGTTTCTGTTTTCTGGGTAGTTTTTTAAAAATTATTTTTATTTTCTTTATGTATTTAGTGCAGGGTCTACAGGGTCTCACTACGTAGACTGGACTCGTAGTGATCTTCCTGTTTTCAGCCTCCCAATCGCTGGGATTACAGGTGTGTACCACCATACCCAGGCTTTCTGTGTGGTTTTATTGGAGGATATTTAAACTGTTTTCTGAATAACCTGCAGTCAAATTGCGCAGAATAGTAAGCACAGATTCACCCTATTGTTCCTTACACAGCTCAAGGTCACCTTTGATGAAGACTAGGCTCTCCTTTTGGAAGAAGCATCCTATAAACTACAGTATTCCCTACTCCTCCGTTCCTTCTTCCTCCACCTCACTCCTCTGAGTGTTTTTCTCCTCCTCCCACCTCACTTCACTGAGCTTCCTTCTCCCTGCATTTGAGCTTCCAGTCTGATTTCTTCCTAGGTCTGCCTTAGAATGTAACACTCAGCTGGGGTTTTTAATCTCCATCAGCACATTTTCCCTATTATTCTTTCCTTCCTGCCTTTCCACTTCTCCCTGAGCTTCCATCCTCCAAATTAAGGAGCTATCAGAATTAATGAACACATTTGTTCTCTCTCTCTCTGAAATGCATACTGAAATTACTGCATCTCTAAATCAGCCAGTAGTGCCATGTGACTCAGTCTGAATCTCCTGAGTGTTGCCATGGTTAGTGCTGCTTGATAACCTTGGGAACAAGGTCACAGAGATGCAGGGGGTTTGGATGAGAGAGCAGCTTTTTTTGATCTGTGTTTGCCTGATTCCTTTATTTTCTATTTTGAACATGTGCAGGGCTCTGAGCCAGAGGCAGTGACTGGGTTGCACTGTGATCAGTATTCTATAAGGCTGCCAAGGAAAAACTTAAGACACACGATTTTGCTAGCAGAGCAGGTGTCCTGCTTTGAGTTGTAACATAGCTGGTGAGCAATAGCTCATGAAATGACCTTCTTTTCAATTTATTAAAGGGCAAGCATTTCTTGGGAATCCATATATTTCATGGAGTTTTAAATTAACACTGCATTGACAAGGGCCTTCTCCAAAATCTTTTGGCTTTCACAGACTTGGGCGTTAAGCCTCTTGTTTCTTCCTTTCAGACTGCAAGCTCAAATGCATCACTGAACAGCGAGCATGTGCTGTGGAATGAAGGTGCAGGGCCCATCCTTCTTAGACATGGCTCAAATGCAGTTGCTGAGTCTCCTTGTATTCCAAAGTTGGAGCTAACTGCCTTTTTCTTGATCAGAATGAGTAAAATACTGCTAAGATCCTTCCACCCCACAAGGTGGACTAATGCCCTCATGGTCCTTATCAATAAGGCAAGTGTGATGTGCAGGGAACATATGTTATTCCCACATTGACTGGATTCTCTGGGCCATGCTTTGTCTTGCATTGGCTATGGCTTTACTCCATCCTTATCACTTGGCAGCTACCAATGACACATAGATGAATCATATTTGCCCACACAGACCTCGGCCCAGGTCTTCTCCAGCACATCATCCTGCTCCTCTTGCCCTGCTCTGAGCCTGGAAGGAGCATCTTCTTGTAGAGCAGTGTGAGTAGGCATGCTCTGGGGATCTGTCAGAATCTCAGAGGGGATTCTTGGGTGACTCCAGGATGCAGGAATAAAAATATCCCAGGGGTTACTCTGCCCAAAGGTTCCTGGAAGAATAGAAACAAAGTAATAAATTGCATGTACACAATGGAAGACACCCTGTCTTCTAATCAGAGCAAAGCTTGCTCCTAAACAGAACTAGGTCTACTTGATGTTGCTTTAATCAAGCTAAGATGTGTCCCCACAGTTCCATAAAAGAAATTTGAGGATAAGTGTCCTTGGAGTCTGAAGCCTAGCATGCTCCCCAGGAAACCTTACGGAGTTCATAGGCTGTTCAGTAATATGCTAAGAGCTTGCATGATAAACTCAAAATAGTGCGAGACTTACTTCAAGAAACACACACTGCAAGGCAAGATAACCAGCTGCAATAGGCCTACAGTCCCTTTGAGCAGGGGGTCAGGCTATTCTGGCTACAGTGGCCCATACATGCCAGGCCTTTTGCCCGCCACACAGCTCCCTGCACCAGTTCCGAGTTGTCTCACCCAAGACATGGTCCTTTTGATCAGACAATTCCTTACCAGACTCACTCCTCAGTCCCACCGAGTTTTATTAAATTCAAATGTCTTTGATCTAGCTAATTTTGAGAGCAAATAAGCCAACTTTATGCTATGGAGTGAATTATGTCTTCTCATCCGTATGTTGAAACCCTAACCTCCAATGTTACTATGTTTGGAAATAAACCCATTAAGGAGGTGGCTGAGATTAAATAAAGTCATAGAGTTGGGCCCTTGTCCATTGGGATTACCATTATTGTAAAAAGTGACACCAGAGATTTCTTTCTCCCCCATGTGTAGATATAAGAAATGGTCCTTTATGGCCAGGGAGAGAGTCCTCACAGAACCCAACCTGCTGGGACCCTCACCTTGGACTTCTAGTCCCCAGAACAGAGATAAAAATGTTGATTAAGCTGTCATATCTATTGGCATTTTATTATGATATCCTGAGTAGCCCAGCACAGCTGCATCTCCGGCCTGCACCGGGGCCAAGGGGAAGTCAGGTCGATGCTCCTACCTATGTACGCTCCGTCCCTGGTCCACAGGCGCACTGTGCGATCGAGGGAAGATGACAGCAGAATATTTTCTTTGTCTATCAGCTCTAAACTAATGAGGTAAAAGGAGAAAAACAAAGCCTCAAAGCTGCTGCCACATGAGAGAAACACTGGATCAGTACAGTGGTCCCTCACTTGTCACGGAGGTTACGCTCCAGACACTCCCGTGAAAGGTTAAAATCAGCGAAGCAGTGACACTGTATATATATATTTCTAAAGTTCTTAACCATTTTCTAAACTCAAAAACCTATTTTAACAACATACATATACTGTACAGTATTGCAAAATCTCACGTTATAGCAAAAAATCCACAATAAATAATTTAGGTTAATATTTTTTGAAAACTCACAAAGGTTGAAATGCAAAATGGCAAGGGACTGCTCTACGTCAGTACTAGTTTAATGTACGTTGGAATACAGAAGTCTGTTTCCTCTCCTGAATTCTTCTGGGAACCATCTCCCCACCTCCTACCATACCACACTGCCATCAAATGCCCCAACTCCAGCCCCAACCATCAGGCAAGACATACTGAAAACCACCTTGTGGGTGATCAGTCTGAGCAGAAAACTGAGAGGCTGAGAAGAACAACCCAGCAAGAGTTCAGGTCTCTCCCTTGGCATTGACTCCTTCCAACCCCAGCAAAAGAACTTAAACTACTAAGCTTAAAAACTTGTATTATAATACCAGGTCAATTCAATTAAAACAGTAATCCATTTTTAAGAAAAAAAAGTAAAGATTTTAAATCTGTTCATTTAGTTCACTATGGGTAATACAGGTGTTGTTTTTACCAAGAGCAGAAATGAAATGTAATTGTCCTCTCTAGAACAACTAGAGGGAGCTTTTGAGAGAATTGATTTAGGGGCAAATTTCACTCTGTCCACTCTTCTAAATTCTTGAACAATAAAAAGGGTGAAACTCACGATGTCACCGTGCTCACATGAGCCCTCCAGAAGGTCACATCTAAATTGAAAGAAAACACATTGAGTAGGACAGGGAGTTAGTTAGCACACACCGTGATGCAGGATGTGCATGTACTGGATGTGTGTCTAACGGGCAGTGCGGCAAGTCATAGGTCTTGCAGTGCTAATTTCATCAGTGATCACTGAATGCCATCTACTCATTCCAGGCCCAAAGGCACACGAAATAGGAACTGTGCAAGACCCTATGATTGTCATCAGTGCTCAGGATCTGGTAAGCATGAGAATGCAAATAACCAAAAATGATTTTTTTAGAACAATTTTGTAAAAGCTACATTTCCTGCTAAGAGTTTGCATCTGGGTCCAGTCCAAAGACCCGTGGGTTAAAAGCTTGGCCGTCAGTGTCATGCTGTTGGGAAGTGGTGGAAGATTTGAGAAGGGAAGCTTACTGGGAGGGATTAGGGCTTTAGATCTGTAGGACCCTGCTGTCTGTCTGTCTGTCTGTCTGTCTGTCTGTCTGTCTCTTTCCTCTCTCCCTTCTTCTTTGCCATGAGGTGAATGACTTGGCTCTGCCACACATTCCTGCCTGATTCATTGCCACAGGCCTAAAGCAAGTGGACCAGTTGGCCCAAAAGCTCCAAAACAGTGAACCAAAGTAAACCTTTTCTCTTGACTAGCTCCAATATTATAGTAACGGATATCAGATTCACATATTCTTAGTATCTGGAATAAAAACTAATACTAAACACCCCATATTTATTTTTAAATTCTGATTTCTCTTCCTTGCTATTTAAACTTCTTTTATGATCATATAGGAAGTGGTGGGTAAAGAGATGTAAGGTGTTTATCTTTGAATTGGATTTAAAAAATATAGTTGATGCAATATTATATGATCATTTAAAAATGAGGTAAAGACAAATATGCTTGTTTAGAAAGTTGCCCAAGTGATACAGAGAAAAAATAAAATTTTAAGCATTTTTGGGGGTGTGTGTGGGTTGTATATACATAAAAACCCTTTTGGAAGGGTTAAATTCATTAACATTTTACTCGGAAATAGAAATGGAGTTTAGGGGAACGCAGGAGGTCAGAGAAGCAACTTCATTTTCCATTACTTATACTTTTGATTTTTTTTCTAAAAGTGAAATATTATAGCAAAGAGTTTAAAATTTTAGACATATTTTGTTACTACAAAAGCAATATATATGCAGAAAAATTTAAAAAGATAGGTTTCTAAAAATGAAGGAAATAAATATGCATAACTTCATCTACGCAGAGATAAAGACTTTTTAAAACCTGTTTGTATATTTTTCTAGACTTCCAGTTTTGCATGTACTACTTTGTTTTAACAAAGATGGAATAATACTGTAATACTATTATAAGATCTGACTTTTTCATTTAACCATTTATCGTGAATATTTTCCTATGAATATATATATACAGTATCATTATTTAGTGATAGTCCAACATACTGTACCATTGCATTCTCCTTACGTTGAACATGTAGCTTGCCTCTATTTCCCCTCTCTCATAAATAATATAACACCATAATATAGCTAAATCTCAGCATATGTGTACATGCATCATTTCTTTTTGTCAAATCCTTAGAGGTACAGGTGCCGCTTAAAGCTTTAGCAATGTACTCTTAACTTGCTTTTCAGGTCATACACTCAACTTGCTTTTCATAGAGCAACTCACCCTCCATTCATGAGCGCATATGTTCCCATTTTCCTCATGAATATTTTCATTCAAATGTTTTCCTGTACATCTGCTTTCAAAGGACTTAAAAAACAACCCCTCCTCACTGATACAGTTGAATTTTACCAGCTAGAATCTTGCACTGAAATAAAAACTCTGCTTCCAGAGTGTTTAACAATGAAGAAGCTCATGACCTACTCTTGGGAGGCTGCAGCTCTGATCCCCACAGGCCGTAGTCCTTGATGTCGTAGACGCGCACAAAGCCTTGCTGGTCAGCCAGGTAGACAAGGGCATCTCCCTCTGTCACTGCGATGCTGCTCACCTGGGCTCTTTCTCTGGACTGAGACACACGTGGGGCTCACGAATGAGACATATACACAGTGACAAGTGAAATGCTGTGCTTGGTGCATGGCTAGGACTAGTCAATCTCCTGTGACTCTTCCAGTGAGATAGAAACGCCTGAAGACAAATAATGCTAAGAGCTTAGAACCTGGAGAGTTGTTCTATTGCTTAGTCAAGAAACAAACAAACAACCAAAAAACCAAACCCATAGCAGGGAAGTTATGCAGTTGGCCACCAAACTTACAGGAGTGAAGTGCGCACAAATGCCAGCACCACTGAACAACCTCCAGAAGGTGACGGAACCTGGGTGAGAGAGAAGCAGGATGGGAATATTTGCACTGAGCCGACCTGGACTGAGGCTGCAAGCCAGCATGGAAGCCACTGCAGTTTCACTACACAGGGCAAATACTTCTTCCTTTCCATTTGGTTTATTTTGATCAGTTACAATTATCAGCATATACTGGGAAAGAGAGGCTTCCTCTTTGTGGGCTTTGGTTTCAGGGAAGATTTCCTGACACAGGTGGGGTCCAGCCTTGGCTGCGGAGGAAAACATGATATGGTGGTAAGTAATGTCTTTTAGTTTGGAGGGTTTACGTGTACTTATGTAAACACTCTGTGAAAATTGTCTATTCAAAGGGATTTACTAGAGGTTCTGCTGTACTGTAGAGGGGATACTAAGGTAGTACATTTTGGGAGAGTGGGCACCCTATGCACATCACCCCCTCTTGAGAACTCCTTAAATCATAGATACTGTAATCCCCCTATTCTCCTCCCAGGGAGATGGGATGGTGTGAGCCTCCAGCCAAGTAAAGCAGAAGAAATGGTGCCTCAGAGAGGTGGATGGAGAAAGACAGGCAGGTGGTGCTAGGAAGGCCTGTAGTTTGGGGGCTGGGACACAGGATCAATAGTGGGCAGAAAGGGTCAAGAGCATAAACCCACACCCTGTGGTCAAATGCATTCAGCTCTTATCTTCCCCTGCCACCAGAAAAAAACAGGTGGCTGCTGTTAACTTGCAATTTTACTTAAATCCCAGAGCTTTAGAGCTGGACTCTGGCCCATTTGTTATACTGTAAGCTTAGAGATCATGTTACTTGGTTAATGTCACTTAGCTAGTTAGTGGCCAGTCTGGGTCAGGGACCCTGGTTTCTAACCTGTAGTGGACCCATCACTCTTCTCCATAAAATGAGCAGGCTCCAGAGCTAACCCCTGAGGTCTTGCCAGCTCTTCATTACATGGTTCTTTGCTCCTTTTCTTTTGGTTTCTTTGTCAGGCTTCCTATGGCTGAATGTATGTGGATATTTATTTAACCTGATAGATGATATCCTGTGGGCCTCACCATCTTCTGGAGAGGACCAGTAGCCCGGTTCACTTGTAAGTAGCCTGGGGATCAGCCAGCCCTTTGCTCAGGAAGGAGAGGAGCAGGGTGACTTGATGAGAAGATATGGGATGGGCTTCTCCCATTACCGTCACCCTGGAGGGGAATGTTGTGGTCAGAGCATTGAGTTGGTGGCTAGCCTGGGCTCAAAAGAAAGTAAGGTCTATGGAGAAATTGAAGGAAGGAAGCCTGGGGTGAACTTGGGTCTGGAAGAGCCTTGTCTTAGAAATGAGGGGTGGTACCCACCAGGGCCCTTGGCCTTACCTCCAGGTCCATTGGCAATGAGGGAAGCAGAAGATGCATCTAACTTGGCTGCCCGAGTCTTCAAAAAGGCAAGACAGGAAACACTTAGGTCTGGGCCTGGAAACAGGAGAGGTCATGCAGCTCACAGCTCTTGCTCTGTTATCTCTGTCTCTGTCCATCTTTTTTTCTCTTTTTCTTCCACTAGCCATCCTGGTGAGTAGGATGGGCTGAAGGAAGGACTGGGAGGTATGAGACACTACCCTAAGGGAGACCTTCAGGAGCTGTGACCTTTGCTAAAGTGACCCTCTCTAATAGGCCTTAGCTTCTAACAATACTGAGGCATCATCATCATCATCATCATCATTACTACTACTACTATTATTATTATTATTATTATTATTATCATTATTTTAGGTAATGGGGATTGAGCTCAGGACCTTGCACTTGCCAGGCAGGCACTTAAGCCCCTGAGCCATTTCCCCAGCTGATTCATCTTCAATCCACTTTTTATACTAGCCACAGACTTTGGCCTACATGGTGATGAATTATTATTCCTGTTGTCAGGAGAGGGAAATCTAGACACTTAGGAGATTTGCTCAAGATTGTAAGATGTTCACTCCTTCCTTTGTTTTCTCATCTGTATCTAAGGATGTCTAAGGGACCAGGAATCATGCTGAATAAAGTACAGAGAAGATATCTGAACCAAAATAATAAGAACTTTCACTAAAAATGAGCAAATTACCACTAGCACATGTGGGAGAGAGTCAGAGAAGACCCTCCAGGGAGCTGCATTTACTGTGCACCCTTGAGAGATGGAATGGATGGACACTGGGCTGTGTAGGTGCTGTAGGGGGCCAAGGGTCAACCCCATACCTTCACCGTGTGATTTCATCCCAAGTACATTTACCCAGTCCTGCTTCTATGATCTTCTCTCATTTACCAGGCTTCAGATGCCATCAGCACAGGGCCTGTGTCCCTAGTCCTTGTAGAGTGCTTTAGTGCACAGAACTCAAGTTCTATGCAGATACCTAGATTCAAACCCCCAAGCGCCACAAAGAACATTGTTATCTGGATACAGGGAGTTGGGACAAAGAGCTCTCCTACCCCTCCTCTCCTTGAGCCAGAGCTCCCAGAGGCACACTATTCAGACTAAAGGACAAATGGATAGTTATAAATAAATCAGAGTTTATTATACAACAAATGTTTGTGTCTCTCTCAATATTCATGTTGAAATACTACCCTCAATAGAATAGCATTTGGAAATAAGAGCTTTGGTAAGTGATGAAGTAATGCAGGTGGAACCTTCTCTCATACAAGGGACTAGTTTCCCTACAGAAGGGACTTCAGTGAATTTTCTTGTTCTTTTCTCCACGTTGGAACACCAGAAATCAGCAGTCTATATTTTGGCCAACAGCCCTTGCCAGAGCTCCCCAACCCCGGTACTCTGATCCTCAGCTTCCAGATTCCAGAATTGTGAAAAATAAATTCCTAGAGTTTGTAAGTCATCAAGTTTATGGTATTTTGTTGTAGCAACCTGAACAGACTAAGACACAAATTACATAAAATATGGACTTGGTGCTGGAATTAAATACTGGGAAGTTGTGCTTCTAGGTCTCATCCTTGTGAGTTAATTTTCCTCTATTTGTTTCCTATATTTGTTTATTAGGGAGTTTAGCATTGAAACCCAAGAGATTACCATTCCCAGTCCCAGCCCTTGCACTATGCCTACCATACAGCAGATGCTCATCGGTATAAATAAATAAATGGACGAATCCATGATCACGTTAGCAGAGAAAGAGTTTTAAGAAATAGAACAAGGCACAAAATTTGGGAGAAATGAGTGGGAAGATGGAGAGTTTTGCAACACAACATACAAATTGTAAGGACAGGTCAGCCGGGAGCATGATGGGTCATGGCCCATCAGAGGGGGCTGAAGGTGAGCAAGGCATAGATGCCTGAAGACTTTCATTTGGATGAAACACCAAGAGATGATTTCAGTGCTGGGATGTGGGGGGTGGGTAGGCTTTCTAGCCATGCAAAGCAAACATGTGATAAATGGTAATAGAAAGCAGAGGAGCAAAAGTAAGAGATGAGTTCAAAAAAGGAGTGCAGTGGGTATGGAGTACCCTCTTGGTTGGTAGTGGGTGATCAAAGGGCTCCTGGAGGTCATGAGCCAGCCTGTGAGATGGGCTTTGATGGACAGGAGTTTAGGGATAAGAGCTGAACTAGTCAATCTTTTAAGCTCCCTTCCAGCTTTGAGAATCTTCATCTGACAAGGCAAACCTAAAAAGAAGCTAAACCTTCCTAAGTGCGAAGCACTCAGAAAGCAAGACTCCTTCAGTTGTCAAGTTGGAGCCTATGCTGAGTGGCTTGGAGCCTGCTTCTGATCTACCTTCTTTTTTTCCCACTTACTTTCTTTATGGTCCAGGACATGTGAGGGGCCAGGAGTGTTCAGCTTGCAGTACACATGGCCTGAGATGACATTCCAAATGATAATTTCTCCATCATAACTGGAGGTGGCCAGAAGAAAAGGTGGGCATTGTACCACACAGAGAACATCCTCCTTGTGCCCATGGTTCTTGGAAAGAGAAGGGAAAAACTAAGATATAAAATCCTAAACCACCCACACTTAACTTTATTTCTTTGATCCTTAAGACAGAGGATCCAGGAAGGGAAGGGGCTCCTCTTTCTGTGGTTGTCCACATTAAAAGCTCACCTGAAACCTCATGGATGGTCTGTCTTGAGGTAGCTCAAGAGGTACTTTATCACTTCTAAGTGCTATTCCCAGCAGCTTCTTTACCTTACCATGTTTCTGGAAAGCACATTATTGATGAGATTACCTCACTGGGCTGAAGAGTTGATGGAAGTAGGATAGCAGAATCCAAGCTCTGGCCTAGATCACTTGCTTTACTAATAGCTGGTGGATTGTAATTTAGGCTTCCATATGTCCCACAGAGTGTCTTCCATAATCTACTGTGAGGCATCAAAGCCACTGATATCCTCTGTTTATTTTAAATTTAATTAATATATTTGGTACAGGGTCTCATTATGCAGCTCAGACTCATAGTGATTCTCTTGTTTTCAACCTCCGCAGTGCTGGAATTACAGGAGTGTACCACTCTTCCCAGACTCAGTGGCCAGCTCAGCACACCCAGGGGTGGGGCCAGCACAGTATGCAGGAGTGGGGATTGAACCCTGGTCCCTGCATTTGCCTAAGCAGGTACTTAATCTGCTAAGCTATCTTGCTGGCCCTTCTGATATCCTCTAAAGGAGGAGTTTTGGAAATGAACCTTAGAAAAGATGAGGACTGAAGACCAATGCTACAGAGTTCATTATTTTTCTTTCTTTTCTTTTTTCTTTCTTTTTTTTTTTGTATTTTAGGGAAGGGTCTACAGGGTATTCAGGGTCTCAATACTAGATTGGACTCATAATGATCCGCCTGTTTACAGCCTCCCAAGAAGAGCTGGGATTACAGGTGTGCGCTACCACGCCCAGTCTAATGCTCCAGAGTTCACAGTCTGTGGCCACTAGTATTTCAGCTCTCCTGGTGGGGCAGTTACTATGTGAAAGGAATTGGCTTGTCTTGGTCCTATGAAGACATTCTTTCACCCTCACCCACATGTACTTGCCACAGTGTCCCTTGAGCACCTGCCCATTACCATCTGAGATCCTCCTCCTGACTGAACACTGATGAGAAGGTAGCATTGTGGGACTTCTAGAAAAGAGGAGCCAAAAGGCCATCTTTCAAAGCTCCTGTGTTTCCAGCTCCCCACTCCCACACCACCCTTCACAGTGTATGAACATTAGGACCAGGTTCCTCCTTTCATGCCTTCCACTTGCAGCAGAAATATACATCTCTATTATGAGGTGAATATTTGTGAAAGGCACCATCTCCAATTCACATTCTGAGGCCCTAACACCTAAGGTGATGCTATTTGGAGATGGAGCCTCTCAGGAGCCCTAGAGCCAGATGGGTCAGCAGGATGGGTCCTCATGATGGCATTAGTGCCCATATAAGAACAGAAAGAGACATGCAGCTCATTCTTGTTCTGCCATGCAAGAAGGTGGATCCAAGAGCAGGAAGGAGGCTCTCACTAGGACCTGACCTTGCTGGCACCCTGTTCTCTCCCCAACTTTCAGTTCTGAAAACTGTGAAAAACAGATTTCTGTTGTTCCTGTTGCCCAGTCAGTAGCATCATGTCATGGTAATCCAAGACCAAGATAATACTTTAGTACAACTTCCAAGCTCTCATTTTCCAGCCTCATTTCCCTCCTGTATCAACACATTTGCCTCTCAGACTTCCAAATCCTTCCAAATGGCATGCTTCTGTATATCCAGGCTCTGCTCCTGCAGCTTCCTTTTTTGTCTGGATTGCTATTTCCTACCTTTTACTCCTAGAAAAATACCTAGTAATCTTTTTTTTTTTTTTTTTTGGAGGTACTGGGGATTGAACTCATGACCTTGAACTTGCCAGGCAAGCACTTATTCTACTGAGCTATCTCCCCAGCCCCTAGTAATCTTTTAATACCCTATGTGACTTTATTTTTTTATTTTTATTTTTTGTATTTTAGGGAAGGATCTACAGGGTGCTCAGGGTCTCACTACTAGATCAGACTCGTAGTGATTCTCCTGTTTACAGCTTCCCAAGTGCTGGGATTACAGGCATGTGCCACCATGCCCAATTTCAATTGCCATCTCAGTGTGCCCCAGGGCGGGGCCAGCATGGCAGGCCTGGGGATCAGATCCCCGGCCCCTGGGCCTGCTTGCAGGTGCTTTCATTCAAAGAGCTATTTGACCAGCCCTAAAACTTGAGAAGGATTTTTTTTTCTTTTTCTTGTGCCTGGCTCAGGCTGCCTTAAGGGTGGGTCTGGTAAGGCATATACAGCTGGGGATCAAACCCACTGTATCCTGCTCCTGACCACGTTTGCATAAGTAGGCACTTAAACAACTGAGCTAATTGGCAGGCCCCCTATACCCTATGTGACTTTATAACAAAGTTAGTGGCTTCCACTTCTGAGCACCTCCAGTATCTTATACATTATTATATTGCATATTTTATATACTCTTATATTGCCTGTGCTGCAGGGCTACTATTTCCTCGGTTTTTCATTTCCTCACCATTGTACAACTTTCTGGAGGCCAGGACTCCCATTTTATTCCTGGCTGTATCATCTGCATCTGTCCACTAGGGATGAAGCTATCCAAATTCTCAATGAACACATGTGAATGAGTGGGAGATTCAGTGAGTGTGTACTTCATGAACTTGTGCAGGAATTCTCTTACCATGCGATGGTTTCCATGAGTATTTGGTGCATAATCTTACACTTTCACCCAATATCCACTAAACTTCAAGCTTCTAAAGTTAGGCACTGTACTTGATTTTTTTCATCATTGTATCTTCCATAAGCAACACACACTTGGTCCACCAGAGGCACTTAGCAAATGCTTGCTGAGTGAAAACATATTTACTGGGCATCTATAATAAAGTCAAGCTTTGGCTCATGTCTGTCTTCATGTGAAATGTACCTTTTGTAAGATTTACAGGGGACACAGGGCCTGGGGCAGTGGCACAGCTGGCGCAGCAGCTTTGCTTTCCTGACTTGTCATACTGGCTTGAGATCTAGATAATTCTGAGGAAGGTCAGTCAGTTCCAGGAAGCTGTGGGAAGTTGGGGACATTCTGAGTCCTAATGAAAAGTGCAAGCAGCCCCCTGCCTTTGCATCTCTTACAAGCCACAGGGTAGTGCAAGTGTCGTCTCCTAGGCACTCTGGCTACACAATGATGGCTTAGTGAATACAGTTTGGTTCACCAAACAGAAGCAAGAAATGGGTGCTTCTTTCAGAAAAGACACACTCATCCTTGTTCTGAGCTGCCCTTTGTGCTCTTCAGGACGCCCAGTTGGAGCATGGATTGCTGCATGCATGGCCTCTGCTCCAGTTTAAACATGAAGTTGTCAACCCTTCACAGAAAGGAGGGCTACCAGGACCTGTGTGTGTGTCTGGGACTGATACAAATCCTATCACAGAAGATGCTCCTGAGACACTGTGATCACCTAGAGCAGGCCCGAGGCAGAGGGGCCCTCTGGGTGAGAGAGATCCTTATCATGTTCATCACGTGCTTAGAGGGCCAGATTGAAGGCTAGGGCTCACCAGATCATCCTTCCAGTGTGGCTGTGGCTTCCAGAAGTGGTGAAAGTTATGCAGTGCATCCTGTATCCAAAGCCAAAGAGGACACATTGTACAAGCAATAAAACTGCCAGCACACGCACAACTTCAGAAAGAAGGTGTTGGCACATTTAATAACCCTACCCCTCACCCCACCAGTGATGCAGATTTTTGAAATGTCAAAGCAAATTCCCTTAATGCCAGCGGGAATAAAAAGCAATCCACTCCTGACGTTTGGGTGATTGCATTTCAGCAAATCATATGTCAACTGACAAGCTCTCCTTGCATGGGCTGCATAGTTTTGCTTTCATGAGACCCAGAGCTGTTACGTGCACTAAAACAAATCCATCGGACCTAGGAACCTGTAATACCAAAGGACAAATTCAATGCCAAGACTTCCCAGGTCATGGTCTCCCCAATCATTCTGAGGATGCAAAGCTTATACTATAAAATATAGTGCACTGTCAGATGAATAAAGGATGTATATTGTTTAAAGACATTCAGAAATCTATGACCACGTAGCACAGCAAGCAAAGAAAATAAAATGCCATGGGTGGCTTAAAGTTCAGTTTTGGTCAACATTTTCAATAATCTTCCCCAGCTCTAAACCATAAAAAAGAATTTTTTCTCTGTAGAGCTGCTCATGGATGGCATTTCACTTCCTCTTTCTGTTTAGAGAGGGACTAAGACATAAAGGCAAGAAAAGAGGCTGAAGCAATGAAGTAAGCATTGGACAACTGACAGGTTAATCTTTATCTCGGAGTGTACACATGCACACTATAACAGGGCAACTTGGCAAGGTGCTCAGGAGGGACAACTACCTGGAGGGTGGGATAGGATGTGGACCTGGACAAAGGGCTAGAGAGAGGCGAGCACAGAACTGCAGGAGTTTAAAGCACAGTCTGGTTTGAATTCCCAGGGATGCCCTTTGTGGGTGTCCCTGACATTTCTGTATTGCTCCTGCCCATGAAAGGAAATACAGGGGGAAAATGGGCAACAAATTAGGTAAACGTATTTTTAAAGGAACTAGCAAGAAAAGGAGAAAAACCAAGGAGTGCACAGACTGAGCCCTTCTTTCATAATTTGACTTATACCAGATAGCAATGGCACTCCGAAATCTATTTTTAAAAGAAAGGTGTGTGTGTGTGTGTGTGTGTGTGTGTGTGTGTGTGTGTGTGTGTTGGGGAATATCAGTCTGAAATACATTTCACTTACAAAATACACGTTTATTCTTCTGTCCCATCCAACAGCTATAATATACCTAGGACGACAACAGAATTTTGCATTTCCATATTGAAATGTTTCATGTTTCATTTTTTGTGTGGAATTAATATTCGGTTTAGTTTAAACCATGTAATAAATGAAGAGAGTAAGAATACAAGCTCTTTTATTTCTTATGAATTATGAGAGGAAACGCACTTTGACAGGCTAGGGTCAGCGTTTTAAGGGGTACTTCAGGGATCAGGAGACAGAATCACCTCAGCCCACCCCATTCTGTATATTACAGAGACTCTTCCACAGAGCTGCCTTCCTAATGGTTACCTGATCTAAGGAGTACGGCTGACCAATGAGGCAAGGGTGTGCACAGAAACTGATCAAAAATCACTTCACCCTTTTAGCATGCAGGAGGGAATACTGAGCTTCTGTTCTATGATGTATGGTGGTTGAGCTTAATTGCTCCAGGATCTGATTTTTTTCCTTAATCAAGCATTTGGTGGGGAGTTGCAGAACCTTCCATCTCTGTTTCTAAAAAGTTGTTAAAATTTTAAAGAATGTTCCAATATTCTAGAGAGATCCTAATTGCTTAAATCGCTCTGAGGAAATAATTGGGGTTCTCAGGAATACTTGGACGCATTTTCTTCTAGGGAATTCCCCACATCCTTTCCATGCATCCCTGCATGACAAACTTTGTGTCAAAAAATAAATCACAAAACACCCCACGAAATACAATCTCTCTCATATCCAAACTAAATATAACTCACTTTTTTTGGTTCACTTCCATGTAGGTACAATCACAGAGTTCACTTTGTTTTTCATCTAGAAAGATAATATTACCACTTGCAGCAAACACTTTTGCTTGTTAGTTCTTGAATCAGCTTATGTAAATTAACGAATCTAACTGATAGTGAGAGGAATAACTATTTCCTTCCCAGCTTTTAAACCTCAGTTAAAAGTGTTTTAAGCCCAAAGCCGTTGATTTGGGGCACCCTCAGTGTCCTACAGCGCTGGTGCTGCCCTTGTTCAGCTGTGAGAAGAGGCTCAGCTTCTCCTGAGAGCACCCTAACAACATGGCATGTGCTTAGAGAGCAAAGACTGAGCTAGGAAACACAAGCTGCATTGGCCACATGACTTGGATCCTTTTTGTCTCTTACTTGGACTTCATTCATTCCCCTTCATTTGAAGAATGTTTGCATTCCCTGTAGGACTTTTACAGGCCAGAATCAGGGAAATTTAACCAAGAACAGGCACAGCAAGTGAATACACAGTGAACAGCTTGGGTGGGGGTGGATAACAATATCAAGAGGCTTGTGTTTAGTTTGTTGACCTAGATTTTGACTTATGTGATTGTGTCCCTACAGAACCCAGGTCCAGAGTCATTAGGTAACGTGAAAGACCAGAAAAGGAATGTGAGGTTGTTACACAAATCCTAGGTTCTCTCTCTTTGTTTTTTTTTTTGTTTTGTTTTGTTTTTTACATTCACTACAAATGCCTACTATTACAGTAGCATTTTGTAGGAATCACTTAGGAATAGTCCAGTACTACTTGCCTTGCTTCAGGGTATGTAGACAGTGTCCGTTGTTGTAGCTCCATATTTTCAGACAACCATCTCTGCCTCCAGTAATTAACCTAGGAAACAGAGTGTTCCATTGGGGGACGTGACAGGGATGGACCTGCTGAATGAATGAAGGTACTGGAAAGACACATACCTTCTTCCACTGGAGTCAAAAGTCAGACAAGTGATCCCAGCCTGGCCATGAGCCTCAATGAATTCAGATACCTGTCTCCCTGTTTCAAAGTCCCATATTTTCACCATCTACACAAAAAAGTTGAAAACTTGTGACCTAGAGGTATGCGCAATTAAATTAAAGGGAGTTGGCATTTCTAGCTCCATAACTATTACAGATAATTGTACCCTGAAAGCGTATGTATTGAATGTCTTACCTGAATGTATTTATTTACTGGGATTTCCATTACAATTCCACAGGTGGCTTCAACAACAGAAACATACTGTTTTGCAGTCTGGAGGTTACAGACTCAAGATCAAGGTGTCATTAGGGTTGGTTTCTTCTGAAGACTCTCACCTTAGCTTGCGGAGAGCTGCCTCCTCATTGTGCCCTCTTGTGGTCTTTCCTTATGCATAACTTATCTCTTGTGCCCTAATCTCTTATAAGGACACAAATCAGAATAGAATAGTGACTCGAACCATTTAATTTTAACTTACTCACCTCTCTGTTTCTGTTTCTGTCTGTCTCTGTCTCTGTTTCTGTCTCTCTGTCTCTGTCTCTGTCTGTCTCTGTCTCTGTCTCTCTGTCTCTGTCTCTCTGTCTCTGTCTCGCTCTCTCTTTATCTCTCTCTCTGTCTCTGTCTCTGTCTCTCTCTCTCTCTCTCTCTCTCTCTCTCTCTCTCTCTCTCTGGAATGGTACTGAGAATCAAACTCAGGACTTTGTGCTTTTCAGGCAGGTGCTGTGCCCCTAAGCTATATCCTCAGCCCCTTAATTACCTTTCCATAGGACCTGTTCCAAAAGGAAACCCATATACACTGGTGGCGGTGGGACTGTAAATTCAAACAGCAATTATGGAGAATAGTTTGGGGGTTTCTCAGATTAAAAATAGAATCACCATATTATCTAGAAACTCTACTACTTGTACAAAGGAAATGAAATCAATACATCAAAGAGACATCTACACATGTTCATTTAACACTATTCTCAACTGCTGAGATATAGAATGAACTCAAGGGTTCATCAGTCAATGAATGAATGAATGAAATAAAGATATTTATACACACATTCATATTTGCACACACAATGAAATAAAAAGAATGAAATCCTGTGATATGCAATAACATGGGTAGAACTGGAGATCACTATGTTAAGTGAATTAAGTCAGACACAGAAAGACAGGTACCACATGATCTCATCCAAGTGGAATATAAAAAAGTGGATATCATAGAAGCTGAGAGTAGAATGATGAGTTAGTTGTCACTGGGAAGAGTAGGAAAGGTGGAGGGATGGCAAATTGATCAGTTACAGTTAGGAGCAACAAGTTCTGAAGAGTTACTGCATGGTACAGTGACTATAAATATATAATAGTAACATACCATACATTTCAAAAATCTAGAAGATTTTGAATGTTTTCATTAGAAATAAAGGGTCAGTATTTGAGGAGATAGATCTCTTTAGCCTCCCTTAAACTTTGCACAATGTATACATGTATAAAAATGTTGCATTACCCCATCAATGTGTATAGTTAAGCTGTTTTTGTGTATCAGTTAAGAAGAGAAGAGTTCTGTCTCTTAATGCTTTCACATTCTAAAGTGCTGTGGATTAGAGCTTCAATATAAAAATCTGGAGTTATGGAATTCAACCCATAATAGTGAGAACATTGTAAGACTAGAAAAGCACAGGGTACAGCTCTGACCATCTACCTGCAGAGACAATAGATGCAAATTAAATTTTCAGCAGCAACGTATTTTCACCATCAGGGCAAAGATGAATGAGAACAGTGACCTCTTTTGGAGGTGGATGTTTCTTTTGAATGTCCAACCTTAAGACTTCATGCAGTCTAACAAGTTCTAGTTTTACAGTTATTTTCTTTCAGTCCCATGCCTTGAGCAACCTTTGAATGAGGATCCAATCTGAGAGAGCTGAGTGCCATCTTTCATGTCTGGATAAGAGAAGGCGCCACTCCTTTGGAGTAGGCTTTCTGATATATGATATAATCAAATGAACAAATTGTGGTATCATTATATTCATAAGTTTGGACTTCATGAAAATATTGGGCCATACTCTTTCCTCCATAAAGTCAAGTGTGAAGTGTGGTTTGAATGCTCTGGATGATGGTGTCCCCCGAAGACTCTTGTACCTCAGGCTTGATCCCCCATGTAGCAGTGTTCAGCAGTGGGGCCTAGAGTGGTGATTGAAGTCATGAGGTCACTGGCTTCATCAATGGACTAATCAATTGATGAGTTCACAGCTGAATGGGCTGTTAGTGGGAGGTGGGGCTTAACTGGAAGAATAGGTCACTGTGGATGAAAGGTACATCTTTCCCTGGCTCCTTCCTCTCATTCTCAGACTGCCATGAGGTGAGCAGTTTCCCTTCACCCTGCCCTCCTACCATGAAGTTTCTTCCTTGAATCAGCTGATTCTGGAATGAAACCTCTGAAACCATGAGCCAAGTAAACCTTCTCTCCTTTTATGTCTACCAGGCATTTCACCTCCACAGTGAGGAAGAAACTAAGTTGGTTATCAAGTGCCTCCTACAATAATAGGCATGAAAAAAAAATAATAGGCATGAGCCTTCACATCTTCATTCAACATCTCCTTACCACTTACTGCCAGGGAGATATGCTTATGAAATCAAAGTTAAAGAGGCAGATTATGTTGCTATAAGAGCCACAGGGCTAAAGTGTCCATTTTTTTTCCTTTGGCCAGAAATTTCAATGAGGTGAGGATAAGAACACTTCTCAAAGTAGTTGATATCTGAGCTGTGCCTAGAAGAAAAAGAAGTTTTGATGGATCAAGAAGGAAAGTAGAAAAAAATACATGCTAGTTCCAAATGTCTGCTGCCTTGGTGGGGGTGGTGATATAGTGCTAAGCTGTGGTATGGGATGTTGTCTGGGAATGGTCAGAAAGAGGGTGAGATCTGCTTGAGTTAGGAAGGGAAGAAAAATTTCACTAGCAAATGGGATCTGAGTGGGACCTGGAAGGATCTTCAGGTGTGTATAGGAATAGTGAAGGAGGCAGGAAAATTCCTAAATGGAGATGAGAAAAGATGGAGAAAGGAATGAGCAAGATGTTGAGAAGATAATATTTTTGGTTTCATAAGAGTGACCAGAGACTCTTATTACCATGGAAGATGAGTATATCCTTATGAGCACAGATTCCAAATAGGCAGCCCTTGCCTTTTGGGAGGTGCAATGAGACTGAGTCATTATAAAAATACTTTTGACCAGCATGGCAAGAACTAATAAATATTAAGTATTTTTAAATACTTAATAAAACTCTTGGGATGAAATGGGGCAAGAACAAGTATGAGGACAGTGGAGTCTCCCTAGAAGAGAGGTGAGAATGAACAGGTGTGAAGATTGTGAAGCAGAACTGTGAAGTAGCATGGGGTATGACCAGAGCTATAATCCCATAGCCAGGAGGGCCTGGCTTTGGAAGGAAGCCAGGAAGGAAGGAAGGCCACATGCTCAGGCTGCTCCTCTGTGCTGCTGTCCAGGCCACTGGTTTAGAAAATGACAAATGAATAAAGTCACACACCGCATAAAGATGTTTCAGTCAAGCATCTACTGCATGCACGAAAGTGGGACCATGAGATTACAATGGAGCTGGACATGTGCTATCCCCTAAGGGTATCATATCCATGTTAATATCCTCATGCCACATATCACTCACATGTGTGGGGTGACACTGATATACATGCACCTACTGTGGTGCCAATTGTGAAAGTTTTGCAATATAGATAAGTGTAGTATAGAAGTTAGTTGTGGTGGCCCATGCCTGTAATCACAGCACTCAGGGCATAGGCAGGAGAATCACTGTGAGTTCGAGGCTCCCCTCAACTACAGAATGAGACCCTGTCTCAAAAAATATGGGTAGTACATGATACTTGATAATGATGATAATTGACTACTACTGGTTTATAACCCATACTTAATTTTTATTTTAGGGTATATTTTTATTTATGGAAAAGCATACTATAAAACAGTATCTCATGTTTTGCTGGCAGCAACTTTAATATCTTGTATTTTCTACTCTGTTGATTATATCTTAGCTCGTGTCCTTGGCTTGATCTTCTGCTATCTTATTCATCATTGTCCTGGAAGGAATAAGCCATAATAGACCTGAGTATGCAGTAGGGTGTACCATCTAGGTTTGTGTAAGTTGTACTCTATTGTGTACACACAGTGCAAAAATATCCAACAGCCCCTTTTCTCAGAATCTATCCCATTGTTAAGTGACATATGGCTACATGAGGAGATTTGAGAACACTAAAACATTTTGAGTGGAATTGGGGTGTGTCTGCCCACTAACACAAGAGCAGAAGATGAGCCACAAGGTGTGCATATTTCCTTTAGTCAACAACCACTGATTATGTCACCCAGCCACTGTGGACAAGGATGTGGACAGCACTGATCCCATAAGCCCCTGGACAAGTGTAAGGGAATGTGGAAGGCTCTGTCTCTTAGCACATGAATTAGAGTTAGAATTTATGAGGGGAAGAGTAATTGTTTTATGCCATACAAGAGACTATAAATGAAATGATACCACCAAAATGGTTCTAAATAGTTCACACTGCAAGCCACTGGAGAAAGTTCCGTTTCAACCATCTTACCCTGTAGAAGAAAGTCCAAACAATTTGAGATAATTAACACAGTTGACCTCAGCCTCCCATTATGCACTTCCAGGGATGGACTGTCCCCAGAAAATACTCCTCAGCTCTAACAGGAGGACAGAGAGGTCCCCACACAAAGACACCACTGACAAAAGAGAAGGAACTGATACTTACGGATGCTTCGGAGCAGCTGACCACATGCCTGAAGGCTGGGTTGTACCTGCAGCACAGCACAGGCTCTTGATGGGAAAGCACCAGGTGGGGTTCTGGGGAAGGTCTTGTTCATGCAAAACAGAGATAGTGATAGCCTGAGCGGCTTGCATGACATGGATACCCAGAAGGGTACATCTGCTACTCTGTGACGGAATAGCCGAGAAGATAGGCTGTGGGGACTGGGATCCTGGGAAAGTTGCTTAACTGCTCAAAATGCCAACTTTATTATCTATAAAATAGGAGTAATATCTACTCCAAAGGATTGTTTAGAGGATCAAATGAGAAACCACACAACAGCATCAACACAGAACATCGCATACATAGCTGGTGAGTATAGTGACTGCTAAATAAGAACATTGAGAGCCCACATCTCCTCTTTAGGGCAGGGGAAATGTGATTCTGCCAGATTACATAATGGATCTTCTCCACAGTAATTTAGATTTTTCCCCAAATAAGTATAAATAGAGTAGCCCAGGAAGACACCGCACTTCCTGCTCCCAGGGGGACAAGGTTAGCCAGAACCTGGGAAGCCATGAGAGGTGACTTCCACAGCTGTCCAGATGTGAAGGGCACACCTGAGCAACCAGAACCTTGCCTAGTGAGCTGTTATGGAGCTCAGCCCACAGAGACCTTGGGGTCTGTGGTGGACCGCCTGGACGACTACCCTTGAAAGAAGAGCAATCGTCTCCATTTTGGCTAACCCTGGCCCTGTTTCCATGGATTGATATGTACAGAGCTGGCTCAGATATTTTCTTATCCTCTCCAATGGTTTTAAATCATGCAAATGGGTCTAGCTGAGGTGCTGGTGTGTAGTCTTTGAAGCAAGGCAACAGGTTAGTGAAGCCCACTTACAGCTCCCAATAGCCAGTAGAGGCTAGGCTGTGTGTAGCTATGCTGTCACCTGGGATTGAGCCTGGAGAAAGGCACCTTAATATCTCGAGGCCTGAAACATTACACATCAAAGCTGAAGCAGTGACCCTAAAACATTAGACGCTGGCCCATTGTGTTACGCAGATGACTCTTCCTGCGTATCTTTCTCTCTGCATATTGCGAAGGTCATTTCAGGCCTCCTACCTAGCCCAGCTCTCTGAACTACTTCGTGCCATTCTCACAGTGGTCACTCGTTCTGGAGTTACTCTCCTTTTCACAAATTAATAAAACTTACATTTGGCCATGGCTCAAGGCCTTTGTTTTGCTTAGTCATCATAGTAGCTGGACTTTGGGCTCCCTTGGCTCCCCACAAGTACAAATATACCTTGGTGTTTTCATTCTTGCTGTGTGCTGCACTGGAAGTGATAGGTTGGAATTAATTTACTAAGTTCAAATAATTTTCCCATGGGATTACAAATGTGGATTTTTCTGGACTGTGACAAGGTCTAGAAATGTTTTCTACAGGGGTTAAGCAACTCAATCTCATTGGCATAAGTTCTTCATCTATGTAATAGAATCCTCATAGAAATTTTCTGAGGAATAAGGAGGGGTCTATTAGTTACATTTCACTCATTGCTGGGACAAAATACCTAGTACCCAAAATTAAAGAAAGAAAGGTTTATTTAGCTCACAGTTTGTGGAGGTTTCAGTCCATAATCAGCTGGCTCCAAGGCAGGGTGGTGTGGCACAAGGGTAATAGTTCAAGAAGCAAAAACAACAAAAGCAAAAAGGGGCAAAAAGACAAAAGGGAGGAGAAAGCCTCTTCCTTCCTTATATTGTATGCAGATTACTTGCCCTCAGATAGGCATACTGAGGCCACTTCATCTTGGTTAAGGATGTTTACAAAGTGAGGCTCTGCCCCCCTGCCCATAAATCAGTTAAACTTGTAACCTTTTCAAGTTGACACAAAGAACAGCATCCTAGAGCAGTAAGGCCACGTCCTCTACACCCTAGGATGTAGAACTGCTGAGTTACTTAGTTAAGTTTCTAGACTTCTCAAGTTAGCACAGTATATCAATCATACCAGGAGACACACATAAATGTCTGGAGGAGCTCAACATGGAGTGGATACTTAATACAGATTGGATTTTTTTTTAATTTTTTAAGGAAGGGTCTACAGGGTGTTCAGGGTATCACTATTAGATCAAACTCACAGTGATTTGCCTGTTTACAGCCCCCCAAGAGCTGGGTTTACAGGCACGTGCCACCATGCCCAGTCTCAATTGCTGTCTCAGTGTGCCCCAGGAGCTGAGTTATTTGGCCAGCCCAGAGTGTTGGTTCTGTGTGTCAGTGTGCTGTCATCTTTTCTGTTGTCACTCTGCTAAGCTCTGCTAAGTGTAGCCTTAAGGCACAGCTCCCAGAGAGCAATGAGCCTCTGACATAGCTAAAGCATGAGTGTCCAGAAGTTTCTTTGAGGAGGAGCAGGTTTCCACCTAGGGATGTGGAGAACTTCCCTATGAACCTGGGCTTTGCAAAGTAAAGTTGCAGCGTGGCCTCGGTGGGAGGATAAAGGAGGGCTATGGAGAACCAAGGACAAAGAAAAAGTTCTGGGCATGTTTGCCAGCCTCATTTTTTTCTCAACCTTGGGAAGAAGAGCTGACTGCCCTACTTCACAGATAAGCATTGAATAACTCAATCCAAGTCACATAGCTCCTGAGTGACAGCAGGGATGAGGAGTAGGCTGGGATGGGGGGACATTTTCTGTCACTTACCTGCTGGCATGAAAGATTGAGGCTGTATTTGCCAGGAAGTGGAATTTCACTTGCTTCACCCCAAAAGAAATCAATCAAGCAAGCTGTTTGTTTTACATAATGCTATCATGTAGAACAAACAGCACTTTGATTGACTGAAGCTTCTGTTTTCAGCTGGTTGTTTTGGCATCTTGAATAAGGAGCCCAAGATTGTTTCCTAGCCTGACCAGCAATCATGTGTCAGTCACTCTGCCTGGGCACCTCTCCTGTTCCACACAAGCCCCCAAAGCAGATTAGGAAGGGCATGGTGACCACCAGCCAGCACCTCACATTCTAGACTTCTCCATGGAATTCTGATGTATGAAAAAGGATTACTTTTCTATAAGGCTAATTTTGACCTGTGATTTGATTGTTGAGTACAATAAATATATTTGAGACTCCTCCTATGCCTATATCAGAAACTAAGAAAACATATCCGTGAGGTCATCTTTGTGATCTCTGGCTCAGAAAACAGTTGCCAGTATGAAACAGATAGGATTTGAAATATAACTGTGACTTTCCTGCAACCTTGTCTTGGATCATGTTTACTGACTTTGAATTTGTGGTGTTGCTAAACACCAAGGGGAAAAGCTGCTGATGGGCAAGAAAGAATGAATTCATGTTGATGCATAAGGGGAGATAACAGGGAAATATGAATGAACCACATTTGCACCATGAGCTGGCTTCAACGATATCTGTGCTTTGGGAATACAGAAAGTCTTGATTCTTAAAGCCCAACTGGGGAGCCCTGCCACCAGGTTAGCAGAGCAGAGAAGAGTTCTTGCCCTGTAGAGCCTGAGAGAAGGGTTAAGACTTATCTCACAGCCACTGGCCTCTTAGGATGGTCTGAGGCAAGCCTTCTTTGCAGGATCTGGAGAAATAAGACTACAATGTGTCTTTTATTGTGTGATTTTTCTAACTACAGGTTTTCTTTCCCTTTTGATGTCTTGGACAGCTTTGTTGTCACAGTGAAAGGAGCAGTTGCAGGGAGAGTTCTAGGGACTGGGCAACCAGAGACAGGGGCACTCGTCCCAGCTCTGCCCCAGTTCTGCCCTGAGATAGTGCATTCCTTTCTCTAGACCACTGCTTGCTCATCTTCAGGGATGGAATTTTTGGACTTGCTGGTACATGGCAGACAGAACTCTAACACTTCAGGAAGACTGGTCAGTCTCCGCCCACACAGGGCAGAGATAGACAGCTGGGGCTAACATTAGTGCTACGTGGCCTCTCTGAGCACAAAAGGGTAGGCAGGCAGGTACCTATATTCCTTGTAGAGGACAACAGGGCACATGGCCTGACAAAGGAGTGCCAAGGAAACAGGGTTTTCAGGTACAGAGGGATCAAGGAGACATGGGTCTCCAGGCATAAAAATGCCTGGACACTGAGGACCTGGGTAGGAGACGCCCACTGAGGGCCTCCTATATAGACCCAGCTGATCTCGTAGGAATGTGCCATCCTTACCTGGCTATCCTGCCTTCCAGGTCCAGGGCACAAGGTATGACTGAGATAGTGTATTCCTTTCTCTAGGCCTCTGCTTGCTCATCTTCAGGGTTGGAATTTCGGAACATGTTGGTACATGGCAGAGGTGTGACTAACCCTACCTGGGGGGTGTCTCTACTCAACAGTGCTGATCAGGTTGATGCCTTTAGACAGCCTAAGCTGCACTGACTTAGTACAGTTTTGAGAAGTTTACTCCAGGGTGAGTGCTGGTGGCTGGACTAGGCCTAAGGGGTTAATGAGGTTGACTATATAGCCTTTTTGACATTCTAGGAAGATGATGCTGGAGCAACTAGTAGAAAACATTACAGACAGCTACCCAAATAGAAGCTGCAAGCTAGAGACACAGGATTTGTAGCTTGGCAACCTGCACAGAGAATCCAGCTGTAGAGCATGAAGAAGGCTACCCCAGCCACGTGGCTCTACCGAACCCTCTAGGGTGCTGAGAGTGTGGAGCCAAGGAAACAGACAGCCACATACCTTAGTCTCAGGTGCAGCAGAGCCATGGTGTTGGTGGCCACACACAGAACTTGGGGTCCTGGGAGGTAGAGGCAGGCTGTAAGCTCTCCCTTAATGCCACTGGCTTTGGAGGAAGCTGTGAACAAGCAGCTATACATTTCTAGATCCCAGATCTGAGGAGGAAATGGGACAAACAATAAGCGTTGAACCTGCTGGATGGGGTTTTCCAGGTGGCTGTCTGTTGTGAGAATTGCTTTGGCTTGATTGGGTTTAAATGCTGCCATATACCCAGCCACCAAAGGAAATGTTTTGCAAGGTGTGCCTTTTCTTTTGTGTGTAAGGGAGGCAGACAGTGAGGTCTGCATTCCTGATGCCTATATCATATTGAAGCTGCTCAAAAAAGGATACACCTACAGTAATGTCACTCTGGGGCTATGATTTATTCCCCCCTCCAAGGAGATGACTGATTGAATCTGTTTCTATGAACTTAACTTTCACAGTGGTGCTAACACAATGAATCTGATTTGTGGCATAGGACTGACTTTGTCTCCACTCTTAGTGCAGATCCTCAAAACTAGTGCCTAGAATTCAGAGTCGTTGTTGGTTGGGAACACATATCCAGAGACCACTTGCCTGAGTTGAAATCCCAGGGCTAACAACTAATGGGTGTGTGGTCTTGGGCAAGTTCCTATCCTCTCATTTGTTTAGTTCTTCATTTATACAATGGGAAAATAAGAACCATGCCTTCCTTATAGAGTTGTTTTAAGAAGTTTTAAAAATTAATAAACGAGTGCTTAGGATAGTGTTTAGACCATGATGATTCTGTACACAATTATAAGGATAACGTTATTGCTAATCATTTACCATGACAGGCATGCAAATTGCTTCAGGGTTCTTGCATTGCCTTAGCATAGTGTGACCTGGTGAGGGACATGAAGGAGCAGATGGGCCAAGCACAGAACTGAGAATTCACGGTGGCACACATTGTTTTATTCATGCTTTGCTTTGGGTTGAATTCTTTCCCTCATTCATGTATTGAATAATCCTAGTATCTCAGAATGGGTTTTTATTTGGAAATAGAGTCATTGCAGGTGCACTTATTTAAGATGACTTTTTTTTTCAGTACCAGGAATTGAACTCAGGACACTGCACTTGCCAGGCACTTATTCTACTGATCTATCTCCCCAGGCCTTATTTAAGATGAGACTACAGAAGAGTAGGCTGGGGCCCTAAGCCAGTGTGACCCATACCTTTTTAATTCTTTTAATGTCATTTTAAGAAGGAGAATTTGGAGTAGATGCACAGAAGGAGAATGTCACATGAAGCTGAAGGCAGAGACCAATGTGATGCATCTACAAAGCAAAGCATGCCACAGATTGCCAGTAACCTATCAGAAGCAAGGGAAGGGAACCAGAAACAACACACTTGGCACTTAGGACATGGAGATACCAATTCACTGACACCTCACCTCAGACTTCCAGCCTCCAGACTTTGAGGCAACACCTTTCCACTGGGAAACCCACCTAGTCTGTGGTATCTTATGACACTCTATTAGCTTCCTACCAGTATAAATACCTATGAAAATCAGTTCATGAACAGAAAAGTCTCATTTCAGCCCACAGGCTTGGAGGTCCTGGTCCATGATCAGTTAGCCAGTTGCTTTGAGATCTATGGTTGGCAGTACATCATGGCAAAAGTGTGTGGCTGAGCAAAGCAAAGCAAGGAGGAGCTGGTGTCCCACAGTCTTTTTTGAGGGCATACTGACAATGATGTACAGGTGCCACCTCTCTCTGGCAACAGCAGGCTGAGGACTAACCCTTCAACATGTGTACTGCTGAGGGAAATCTGAGATCTCTTAACATAATCCTAGCAAAGTGATGCTCTTTTAAAGCAGCTCTGGCAGGCAGGCATTATTTATGTCTTTAATAACTTGCCCAAATTGATGGAGTGACCATAGTAAGCAGCTAAGCCAGGAATCAACCTCAGGCCTGTTTCCCTCTGGAGCAGAAAGAGAAGATGAGAGTGGGTGGATGTACTTTGACAGGGTTTCTTCCCTTCTGTGGAGTCTCTAGGAAACAAATTAGTGCTGATGAGATTTGAAACTTTGCCTCTTAAGCCAGACTCTAATTTGCCTTATTTATACTCTATGTTTATTTCTCATTAGCTTTTCTCAGCAGTTAGCAAATTGATTGTGAAATTTCTAACTTGTCTTTTTATTTGTGCTTTTAGGCATGACATCAAGGAGGGGAGTTTTGCCTCTTGGGAGGTCAGCATGGGGGCTGTAGTAGTAACTCAAAGTAAAATAATCCTACAGAGAAAGCAGCCCAGAGGACTGCCTGCCCAAGGACCTCTTTCCTTACTGTAATGTTGATTTATTAGAAGTTGCTTATTTTCCTGGACACAAAAGTAACATACACAACCGTTGTCAGTTATATCTCCATGGGAATCCATTTATGTGTTGATTTCTTCTCACAGTGTTATGGTTGGCTATATGTTCCCCAAAAGGCCCATTGTGCAGAAGGTTTGCTTGCTGATGGGCTTTTTGGAAGTGATTGCATCGTGAGATCTTTAACTTCAGTAAATGGATTAATTAATTGATGAAACATAATATAATGACATTATTAGAAGGTGATGGAATAGGAGGTGGGTCTTACTTGAGAGGATTGGATTATGGAGGCATGAACTTGAAGACCACATCTGATTTCTAGCACCCTCTGCTGTGGTTCTCTCTCTGTCTGTTTTTGGCCACCACAAGGTGAATAGCTCTGGTCTACCAGGCCATCCTGCCATGATGGTCTGTCTCATTCTAATTCCCAAATAATGGAGTCTGCTGACCAATGACTAAAGCCTCTGAAACTGTGGGCTAAAATAAGTATTTTGTGCTTTAAATTGTTTTCCTTAGGTGGTTTGTCATGGTAATAAGAAGTTAATACACACTATATGACATGGGTTCTATAGTTTGAATGTGTTCCCAAAAGCTCATATTGTAAACTTCTTATTCCAATTTACGTATTAATGAAGTGATGGTTTTTGCGAAGCAATGAGATCATAAAGATGGAGCCCCCATCATGGCATTAGTAGCTTGGTTAGAAAAGTAATCCACGCCAGCATGCTTGCCATACCTCATCATATGGCGCCCTTCCCTATGTTGTGAAGCAGCACAAGAATCTTACTAGAGGCTTCATGCTTCACTCTTGAACTTGGCATTAGGTGACTGAAGGACGAAGATTTGGATGAGGAGCAGGGGCACACAGTTAATATTGGGTCTGGGAAGGGTGATTTCATTAAGATTCTGTACAGGTGTGCCTGCCAAGATCCAAGAGGGAAACAGTGGGGAGATACTCCTCATACTAAAGCCAAGGTTGATTCACCAAATTGACACCAAATCTTTCAAATAAAAATAATTATCACAAACTGGGCGTCACTGACTTATCTGCGGTCAGCCTAGCCTTCTCTTTTCTTTCTTTTTTTTTCTCCTAAAGGTTTTCTTTCTGACTGAAGACAACAGGCATGGGGCCTACATCTTCCAGTCTGTGTCCTTCTCTCAGGTTTTTCTGTCTGGAGCTGGTGATATATTGGAGTTGGGATATGGGCTCAGAGCTTTGGGTGTCTATATTCCCTACCATTTGGAAGGAGAAACACTTCCTACAGTAGGAGCTGATGAGCCCAATATGTACCAAGGAATAAAAGTGAGAAGAATAGGAAAAAAGATCCAGCTCTGAATTCAACTGTTCACTATGTTGATGTCCAACGACCTGATTTTATTTATTAATTATTTTATTTTATTTATTTAGCACAGGGCCTCACTACACATATCGGACTCGTAGTGATCCTCTTGTTTTTAGCCTTCCAAGTGCTGGGATTACAGGTGCACACCGCTACACCTAGTCTCAGTTGCATCTCAGTGATTTCCTGGGGCGGGGTTGGCACACCACACCAGGGATCAAACCCTAGTCCCTGTGCCTTCCTAAGCAGGTGCTTTAGTCCACTGAGCTATCTGGCCAGCCCTTGACCTGATTTCAATCACCATCAAATTTCACTTCATAGTTTCACCTATTTGAGTTAAGATTGTGTCTTTCAAGCTCAGCAAGTCTTACATGGCAACAGTACTCTGTACTGAGTACAGTTTATATATTTCCTTTGATGAACATGGCTGCCTTGCACAGTGGATCTTTCTCTCATGTTAGAGAAGAGTGATCATTTTCCAAAATATTTAAATTGTTTAGTTCAGCATACAAGTCTATCTAGCTAATAATTTCAGAGTTTATACTCAAGGTTATATGTCTCCAAACCTTTCTGTATCCCTTCCCATGCTTTCTGTTCTACATTCATGCTTCTTTGTTAAAACATAAAGTTGTTTTAGGGAAATAACTGCCAAAGTAAAGTATTTCCAGTTTCTCAGTCACCTGGGCTGGTCATGAACTCAGCAATGAGACTAGGACAGAAAGTGACATGTGTGATTTCTGGCTAGAATTTTTAAGAGGTAAGTGTGGCTTCTTTTTTTGCACTCTTCTTGCATGTGGATGAAGAAGTCTCTGGGGCCTAAAGTGAGGTAAAGCCTCCAGCGGGAGAGAGACTGGCCCTTGAATGGGAGGAAAAGTTCCCACTCACCAGACTACTGGCACTGTTGATAGAAATACATTTTTTATTGTTCTAGCCTACAGACAACATAGAATGTATTTCTTATAGCGGAAAACCTGACATGCACTAGTGCTGTCTTCTATCCAAGAATAACTTTCCTACCATGCTAATTCCAGTCAACACAAAGCAGCCTTCTTTGTGGTTTTCAATGCTAAATTTACAAAAATAACAAGTGAAAAATAAAATCTGAATCTGTCACTTTCTTCTCCTTTACAGAAAGCCAGAAACCAGCAGACTCTTGAAATGTTTTGTGTGTCCCTGTGATTTGGAGGAGTAAAATATTTGGGCTGAAAATCAGTTCAAAGAAAGAAGACTATCTGATCAAGCATGCTAGAAATCTAGCTGTTTGGCTCCTAGTTGATTAGTTTTTATTTGATAGGAATAATGTATTCTGAAATAACTCACACACCATATTTCCAAGCTAGGATTTCAATATATTTTAAACACACATTGGGAAGTGATTCAATATGTCTGAATCATCACAGGCAAAATGCTAATCTTGTAATCATGAGTTTAGATTGGAAGAAAATAG